AATATGTCTCCTTCTATTGCTTCACTAATTTAGAACATTAATGTTCACTTAACACTAAGAATGTTCTATAACAATGCAAATGAATGCAGCAAGGTGCTTCAAACACCGTTTACAACTATTCAATTAGCTAACATGGACTCACTTTCCTCCATATAGTCAATGGATTTCTTCCAAATGAAGTCTATATCTCTGAGGTTATAGTGATATGACCCTTAGAACATTACGGTTTCGGTCGCAATGCTTGAGCATAATTGAAAAATAGAGCCTCCAAACTGTGTCGGATACCACTCACCCCACAACAATCCCATGGCGAATTTTGTCCACTATAGGTGTAGAGTAATTGCAAGTGACATGGAAGAAGAGATCATCCTTGGTCGTCACATCATGTGGTAGTACTCGATCATTCGACATTACTATCACCGCAGACACCACTTTGTCCTAGAGGTTACGCTTATTTTTGGAAAAAAGGAAGTAAATGAAGAAAAAGGTATCTATGTCCATCATGAATAGAACATACTATCTCAAGTGCGTTACACCAAGTATTGTGTTGTGGTCGTGGAATAAATATGGCAAAGTTATTCGACGACCGTAAAAATATGCGACATTGTTCGAATCGCTCTGCTGCGTATACCGCACCAGTATACTTCTGAACATATAAACACTTAGCGATATTAAAAATGAAGTCAAATATGCTCACCTCGTCGCTATCAAGGTGAAATGACACATTCACTCCGGTATCGTGACATTCCGCCTTCACCTTGACTTTATCGGGATTGACAAAAGCGATTCTTTCAGATGGCAAGGCTAGGCGTGGTATGGTCTCATAGTCGGAAAACTGTTGCAGCTCGGGATCAAATAACACAGCACTGAAGTTCCCCGTGTAGCTCAAATGAGTAATATTCAAGGTTAGAACAAAACAAACATTCTTACTTGGAGTTTGCTTCTAATGAAGAATTCGGTACGAGTGGCTCTCTGAACTGAGTTAACGGATCGATTTTAGCATCTATCTCAGTGACTCTTTCAAGATACTTTACTGTAATTGGTGCAGTCGAGTCTAAAAGCTTGTAACTAATGATCGAGTCACTTGTAAGCAAT